CACTAACGAGCCCCAGCTGCATTGTTATTCCTGCATCCCGACTCAACTCACATCAAACTTCTGCTGAGTCACAACAGCTAATTGATCAGGATTCCCATTTCCATTAAAACTCCATATTGTGTGTATATTCATATACATGTATCACTTTTTAATGTATCCAATTAAACATAGAATACAAGCTTGGAAGGGGCCTTGGAGGTCTTCCTAGTCCAAGCAGGTGCTTGAGCAGGAGACCTTATACCAGGGGTGTCAAGCTCACGTCATCATGGCATCATCACGTGACATATTGTAACTTTACCCCCCTTCACTAAACTGGGCATGGCTTTGGCCAGCATGTGATGCATCTGGGCCACGGACCATGAGTTTGACACCCCTGCCTTATACTATTCCAATCTCTTATTAAAAACTTCCAGTGATGGAAAACCCATAATTTCTGGTTTATATCATTACCAATCATGTTTCAAATCATGTGCAGCTGATATGTTATTATCTGAAGGTTTCCCTTTTGCACCTACCAACTTTACAAAAATTGATCTTGCAACATTGTTTTCGGCCACATTTCCATGATGTTGCCTTTGTCCTATTCTGGAAATTTTTCATGAGTGAGACAGGCTTGTCATCTTTGCTCTACCAATGATAGTGTTTCTCCATTTATTCTGTCTAAGGAAAATGTCATGATGAGCTATGATTCATAGCAAATTTCATGTTGGGTAGATGAATTAATACTTTAATTCAGCAATGGGGAAAGTCCCAAATATAGGATCACAGTATGTTTCTTGTAAGCTTTTCATCACTCTTACTGGTACATTGAAATTATTAGATGAAATGAACTGGGGGGGGTGTGTGATTTTTCAAAATGCAGTTATTTATTCACCCAACTTCTTGATTTCAGTCTAAACATCTCATACTTATTTTCAAATGCCTCGGGGTTTGCCTCAAAATGTTTTATGACATAGCCCTATTCTAGTTTCTCCAAAAGGAGAAGTGAGGAAGGATTGTATTGTCAGCTTGGTCTGTAATGCTGACCATGCTGTCACTATTATTTGATTCATGTATTGTATGTTTAGAAAAGGTCACCTTTCTCAACGCAACTTTATTGCTTCGCCATGTTGATTGGATCTCCAATTGTGCAGGGATTTCAATTGCATTAAACATCTGCATCTAATAGGTACATGAGGGATCTGAATTTGATCCAACTCCCCCACTCAAAAATTGTATGATAATCACTAAGTGGGGCACCACCATGTCCAATTTTATGAGTTATTAAGTTATGACCTGCGTCGCCCATCACAGTCACAGAATCACATTTTGGGTGTTTAGCAACCAGCTCACCTCTTCTTAAGGCTGTTACAGAAGTAATATACTTGGCTGTAGAAAAATGTGGATAAGATATTAAACATTACATTATACCATGATATAAAGGTGATGGCAGTGCTGGCAGCCCATCTGCGCACCATCCTTATCAGGGTACAACTTTAAGAGCCCAGGTGGCGCAGTGGTTAGGGTGCAGTACTGCAGGCCACTTCAGCTGACTGTTATCTGCAGTTCA